ACGCTCCGTGGCTTACGTACGCGCACAACATGACTTGGTGCCCCAATCCGTATACTGATTCCATTGTGGTCAGCGGCTGGGCCAGGTACAGACAGATCGACGTCTCGAACCCAATCAGCATGAAGAGCACTCACGTACCACCGATCAAGTCGAGAACTGGCTGATCCACCTCCAGGCAAAGTGTAGAAATAGGTGTGTGCCGCCGCATGAAAGGCTGCTACGGCCCTCTCTTCTTCCGCTCGCTCCATGTCATCTTCGAGTACATCGCAAAGTTGTGCGCGACCTAGAAGCCGTCTCAGCGCCTGCGAATCATGTCTGCCGGGCGGCGAGACAAAAGATCGGTCAAGTCGAGGCACCAATGTGCAGTTAAAATCCCCGCCCACGAACAAGGGTCCGTCGTGATCCAGCAGGTGATGGCGAAGCATCTCGAAAAACGCCTCCCGTTCAGGCTTACCACTCGGGGCATATACGTTGACAACAAGAACGGTCTCGCTTCGAATATTAATTTGAACAGCCATCCAGTGCGGTGTCCAATGTATCTCATGCCACGGTTCCATCTCAGTAATCGACGAGTACGGATTAAGTAAAATCGCAACCCCTCCACGCGCTGCTTCGGACTCGGTCCATCGAGTGCGTCCGGGCTTGTCCACGAAGCCCCATGTGGTGTTGTAAAACTTGTTCAGACTTGCTGCTTCACCAACAGAGACCCGCGTTTCTTGTAATAGGACCAAGTCGATAGCACCCCGTGATTCGCGCTGCCTAAAATGGCCAAACCATTCTGCACAGCGTTCCGGATGCTTGGGGAATCCCGCGACATTTTGTGAATGCAGACCGATGCTGTTTTCGCGTGGCTTTTGAGAAGTCTTCAACATGCCCCGATGACGACGTCGAAGTGTATCTGCCCTTGGAAGGTGAAAGGAAGAAGACTCAACCCTGTCTAGCGATCTAAGTCCCCCTACAGAATATGGAAAAGAGGGACTGGGATCCGCCCCCCCTACCGAATCAGCCCCTTGCGCAGCCGAGGTGCCCTCAGTACTGAAGGTCCAGCAGCCGACCATCGCGGGCAATAAGGTCAATCGCCGGCTGCCAGTTGGCAGGTTTGCATAAAATGCTGGATACAGCCGCGCGCACCTCTTTAGAGAGGTGGTATAATGCCGCTTTGGACTGTGGCATCACCACCTTTGTCTCATCCTCGACAGGTGCAAGATGAGATAGCAATACACACAGGACATTGAGGACGCCCCATTAATCCAAGTCCGGAAGCGGTTCCACGACAGTCGCGCACAGCAACTCCGGCTGTAATTTGTGGAATTTTCTCCAGCGCGTTATGTTGTCCGTCGTCTTCCATCGAATTTGCCCAGACTGACCTTCTGCCGTTGCAGCCCAACCCGTACACAGCTCTCGAAGCTTTTCATCAGCGTGTGTGGTATGTTGGCGTATCACAGACAATTGAGACTCGCTGTTGATAGAATGTCCAAAGGTTTGGAGGGATTCCCTCGACATCGAGGCGAGGTAAGCAATTGGGTGCGGCAGGTCACTGACAAGTGCCGCCAATTCCAATGCACACGCTTTAATCCATGCGGATTGACCCTTTGGACCAACTGGCAGTGTAGTGGGTACCGCAGAAACCACTTTGCGCTGAGAAACCCATCTACGAATCGCAGCAGTGTTCGCCGAAATGTGTTTCGTGCCCTCCGGCACAGCGGCGGCCGCTACTGCAGCCGATGCAGTGTCAGGCACCTTGCGCACTCTAGTTGCACGTAACGTCTGATCGTGAGTATCTTGAGTGCGGATGAAATCCATCGGGGATCTAAGTGCCACCTGTGTACTCGATTCCCCATTAGAGCCAATGGGTCGTGTCAGCAGACCGTAAGTGCCCATGGCTGGGTCAGCTATATTTCCTGAGTAGGCCTTGAGCTCGTCTTCAATAGCTTTAGCTAGCTCCGCTGGTATAGGGACACTGGCGGCGCATGAGGGAGGCGTTACGGCCCCTCCATCAATATCATCCATGCGCATGGTATTTCCAAACGTAGATTTGCTTACCGCCATACTTACATCGAGATCATGGTGTTCCAAGTAGTCCGGGTCCTGGGGGCATGTCGGAGAAATTTCCAATGGAGCCGAATCAGGTGATGCAACCCCAGGTGGGACCGCACCCGGTACTGCCTTGGTCGTCACACTTGGCATGCTCCGTTTGCGGCGAACATAAGACGACAACATTCGCTGTATCGTCGCGCGACCTCTTTCCCTAATTTTCTCTGCCGTCGCAGCTGGCATCTCGCTCGGCGGTGGGACAACCCCCTTAACCGCATGCTCGATCTCGGGCGTCTCTTTCGGTGTAATTTTTGTCAAGCGGCGTGTCAATTTTAGTAGTTTGTTCGTGGCCGTTGCTGCTGCTGTCTCCGCTCTGTTCGCCTCTGCACCAGCGGTGCGATATTTGTACTCCAATGTAGGCAAGTCACCATTCACATCGTCGAGAGTTGTATTAAGGTCGAGACCTGTAGCTTCGCGATCAATAGCTAATTCCAACGCATGAGCGTGAGCCTCGAAGTAGCAAGCTTTCTTATTTTCGGCATTGAACTTCTTTTTTGCAGCGGTTGAAGTCAGTAGTTCGACTGTGCGTTGTGCGTCCGCAACTTGAGATTGAGCCACCGCTAAAGCCGTAACCTTGGATGACTTCTCAGACAAAGAAAGAATTGCAACAGTGTCCGTTGCCTGATTTGCCGTGGAAGCCGTACGATCACCTCCGATCAGGTGGTCCAGTTCAGCTACCGCCTGCGCACGCTGCTTAGTAGCCTTGGTAGTGGCGGCTGATGTCACGGAATAAGTGGCCGCGGGTGCTCTTCCTTTCGTAGAAACTGCTGGCTTAGTAGGTGAGGAAGGTTTCGTAGCCACTTTAACCGAGTTCGTCGCGCTCTGCTTGGCGGAAGATGCCGACCCTTGGGTCGACGACTTGCTGGTCCCCTCAGCTGCTTTTGACCTCGGACGTCGTAGCGGTGTAGCATTAGAAGTCGCCGCTTGAGTAGTTGAAGCCGCGTTGGGACGCGAGTCCCGCTTTTTCTTGTTCGCACCTGGGTCAAACCACCCGTCAGTAGTAGGACCAGCGGCACGTGGGGCATCGCCACTCGCCGCTGGCTGTCCACGGGGAGAAGAGGGGGGTGTATCCTCCCTTGGACAGTCTCTCGAAAAATTCTGTGAGATCTTGGTTAACAGTGGTGCCTTGCAAGCTTCATCCTTCAGCTTGGCCGTAGTTGCCTGTAATGTCTCTGCCAGGCCGGCGACATGCTGCAGGCGCTCGTTCACATCGAGGTGCTGAAAAGTCAAGACGCTGACTGTTTTGGCAACATGGTGAGTACCGATGAATTCGCGGATGCTCAAATAAGAAACCGCCCCTGCTGGCGGCGCATTTTGCACTTGAATGATACGGCGAATAACAAGAAAAACAGGGGACCCGTTGGAAATGACAATGATGATGAATAAAAAGTGTCGTGTTGGGAGTCTTGATGTGTGTCACCAACTTGATCTCTTCGGGACATGAAACGGTATTAAAGGTAGCGACAAAGAAGTTGGAATCGTACGCCTCTGTCCCATTCAGAAACCCCCGAACCACCGACGTCACCGAGCATGACACACTCGACGAGAGGATAGCTTGGACAGTGCTCGCGGCCACGCCATGAACCAAAATTCTCACTTGATACTGCAGAATGTTGCGACTTGAAGTAGTACTGGACGTCAATGAAGTAGTGATGTCATCCCTCTCCATGGTTGCTGGACACAATAGTTGAAGGCGAGTACCACGAAATGAAATGAATTTTGTATGCCACCTCGCCGCAGCCGCCTGGTCAGGCAGAATAAAGGTGAGGCGTCGAGTGTCCGAATTGTAACACGTGCGCTTTGCCCCCTTGACTAGCTCCCGACTAAGTGGATCGGAAGTCGTCTCCCCTTCGCGGCGTTCCAGCAGTTGTAGGAGCAACGTTTTCTCAGCAATATGCTGAGGCATACGGACGGAAGGAGGCACAAGCGCGATGACCTTGCCTTCAAGGTATTCCTCAAAAAAATCAAGCATCGCAACCCGCGTGGCTCTTGGGTGCGTGCATACCAAAAAAACCGGGCGGTGACGGAAGTACAATGCCTCCCATCAACCAAGCTGCGAGCGCCTCCTCCTCAAGTGGAATCATTGGACGCAGATCATCATCCACCTTATCAATCCAAGGTCTCGAAGCTGTGCGCACCAGTAAAGCACGTTGGTCTTGCGACCCACCGACCTCCGCCGGAGTCGAGGCGCTGTGGTCGACGGGGCCTTTTCTGTTGCCAAGGCTGGTAGGTTCGCCAGGGTCGTTTTTTCCGCCGGGTCCGTTAGGTACGCCGGGGTCGATACATTCGTCGGGGTCGATGCGGTTGCCGAGGCCGTTGACCGCAGTCGCGAACGAGACCCGACCAGCCGCCGCTGGCCCAGGACCAGGCACTTGTTTCCAATGCACTTGTGCACCTTGGCTCTTAAGTGGTGAAGGAGCATCGCCCAGCGGCACATCGCCGTCGTCAGAGTTCATGGTAAAAAAAGGTACCCTTCCTCGTGCCCAGTAATTCGTCTGCGTACTTAGCCGCAAATCAGGAAGTGAAAGCGAGCAATTATGGGCTTTTTTCAGTATTCTATAGACAAGAACAATCGAATCGTATTTGCAAACCAATACGCTACTAACATTGCGTTTCTCAATACGAACACCAGCACGTTCGTACATATGCCCAATGCACGTAATAGCCATGTTTTCGAAAATGTACTTATGCCATTAAATTACTTGCACATACCTGCAACAAGTAATTGACTGCTACAAAAGTAACATTCTTGGGCCTTAAAATATTAAAGTGCTACAATTGAAGCAGAGTAGTAGTAAGCTCCCTTCATTTATAATAAAATTACTAACTAGAGAGCTTATCCAAACAGTCAAAAATAACAATTTCGACACAATTTCGCTTCTATTATTGACAAAAAATCATTGACCATGACGGCACTCTCACCACGTCTGTTCCTCGCGTTTGACGACTTTTCCCGCGCAGGCAAACGTACGTTCTTCTCTTCATCCTCTCTCTATCTGTCTCTACTCAATAAACATTCTTTCTCCCCTTTTTTTGTAGATGTTCTGCGCTTCACCAAGTTCAATCACACTGAAGCTCTTCCTATGCCTCAAAATATCTTGGAAACTGTATTCCCTCTTGACCTCTGTCAATTTATACAAATTTATCAATATCCGGATCAACAAGTTGCAATTATTACAGTTCATACAGCGGACTTAGAAGCCACAGAGCTATGGAAACTGGCTGATGCACTGGTCTCTGCTATGAGTCAAGCAAATGTCGAGACACTTACAATCTTGACGGCTTTACACTTGCCATACGTCAAAAATGACGACCTGGACGTGTTCTATAGAGGATTCAATATTAAAATGGATAAAGATGTTGATATTGCGGCTCTATCAGAAGCTGATCCAATGTGGGAGATCAAGGACCCATGGCTCATTGCATTCCTGCATTTGATCAAGATTGAGCAATGGCCATGTACCCATTTGCTCGTTGCTAAGGGATATAAACCTGGTCGAGATTTAAGTGGGATGTACGAAGCAATGGACAAGTTGAGTCGAGCTTTGCAGCTTTTTACAAGGGAAAAGATGATGGTGGATATGCAACACATGCATCGAGAGTTACCAAAATTACTGGCAATGGAGAAAAAGATGACGACGGACGAAGGTCTGACGCTGCTGTACCATTAAAGCAGGATGGTCCATTCAACTCGAAGATGATGGAAACTGATACATGACGTTTGAAACGGAAGCACACTCAATCCCATTTTTGCATTGTTTGCTTTGTATCAGCCCATACAGTGCAGTTTTCATTGTGAGTTCTCCCACTTCTTCTTCATTGAATGTCTGCTGGCGATCCTGACACGCAAACTGACAGAACTCAGCCTAGTCCATGAGTAGGACGACCTTGCGCTTCGTTGTGCGGTTTACAGCAGCGTGGAGAGCGTCGTCAAAGTCCGCGAACTTATATGTCTGAATCCAAGTTCGCAGCTTACCAGCCTCCACGAGACCAGCAAGCTCCGACAACATAGCAGCACGCTCCTCGATTGTCGAGTCCTTGACCCACTGACTGAGCCAGAAGCCCTTGAGCGTAATGTCGTGGAAGATGAGCGCGCCCGTGCCTACGGCAACAGCCTCCTTGCTCATACCGCCGTACGTGACGTGCACACCCTTCTTCGCCAGTACCTTTGCCATCTCAAGGCTGGTTTTTCCGCCCACGCAGTTCAGGGCAAGCTTTGGTGCTGACAGGTCCGAGGTCATCTCCCTGAACTTGGCCGAGCCCATGTAATCAGCAGTACACACAACGGTAGCCCCCAGACTCTTCAAATGTTGCACCGTCACGTCGTAGTCGCCGTCTTCACGAATAATGTTGATAGTCTTGATGCCCCGCAAAGCAGCCAACTGAATCACAGCCTGGCCGACAGCACTGTTAGCACCGTTCTGAATCACCACATCACCCTTCTTGAGCGTCACAAAGTCAGCCAGCATACGGTAAGCCGTCGAAGGGTTTACAGTCAGCGTCGCTGCATCCTCAATCTTGATTTTGTCTGAAATTTTCATCACATCGGTACTCTCCGCCACAGCTTTGCTACGCCACGTACCTGCATAAAAACAACACCTTTCAATAACCTTTGCAAAGAATAAAATAGCTACTACAACGTACCAAAGCTAGCACTCGTAGGGATCACTCGGTCGTTAATTTTGACATTCGTGACCCCAGTACCGACAGCCGTGACAATGGCTACACCTTCGTTCCCAGCCACAGCCGGGAGTTTAGGTTTAATACCATAAGCTCCCTGGATCTGCGACAAGTCGGCTACATTGATCGGTGCAGCTAAAAACTTGAGCGAAACTTGGCCTTTGGCTGGTGCGACATCCTTTTCATCTCCTTCGGTCCTAGAATGTCAAAAAAACTGAATTTTTTTTTGTGATTATTTTTTTAAGGAATTTTTTATACGTACTTGAGGACAGTAAGTGGGTGACCAAATTCAGAGTATCGGATGGTACTCATAGAGCGTCTTCCATGGGCACTGAGACCCTTGTTAATAATCGAAAGCATGATACGTGTGACTTGAGAGTGAGTAGTTTGTTGATGGCTACGGCTTCTAGGAACCGCTCGTTTTTCGATTTTTCGAAATTTAAGTTTGACTAAAAATTTGTAATATTTCTCGATATTTCAAGAAATATCCAGACCTTCGACGAGTGATGTCATGTACATGAGATATGACGTATAACAGTATGAGGTGGTCCACTTCGATTGGTCATTTTGTACTGGGTTTGAAATGGTTGGTGGACAATCAACACGCTGTTTTTGATGCAAGTGAGAGAGATCATTACGATTTTAATCGAGTTGGACCCACGTTTACGATTTATATTTCCCAATGATTAATTTAAAGTTTGAGATCCGTGAATTAGGCCTGGGGGGTCATCGTATTATGCGATGCTCGGGCCGATACTGTGGACAATTATCACTTGTTGATGGGAAGTTTTTCATTTTAATTGCAATTTTTTCTTCAAAAGAAGAAGAAAAACTTTCTCAATGATCAATTTATATTTAATCTTTGAGACCTGAATTGACTACCATGTGGACAACATGCTTTTACTGAGAGAAAGTCGTATATATATATACATTTGAACATCCCATAAGCTGTACAATCAATACATTCGTCTATGTACTTTTGCTAAACGGAATCTAGTTCTCCTTCAGTTCATGTGTCTTCTTAATGTTGCAGTCGCTTGTCTCTTGATGTTTTCTTTAGTAAATGTCCTTATACAACCGATCTTAGCAGAAGATTGTCATAGCTACCATCATTACTAGACTTACCACTACTTGAGCCGGACTGAAAGACGTCGACGTTTTATTTAAGGTCGTTGCCATCTATTAAGCTTTTTGCAAGTATCCGTTACCATCCACAGGGCTTTAAAGTTTCTTCGTCAACGTGGATTCATTTGGAGTATGGGCCAGTACACCAGAGGTGCAAGTTCGTCATGTGTGACGAGACGTATGGAGTTTTAGCATCATGTATGACGAGACGTATGGAGTCTCAGCATCATGTTCGCTCGTTTACATTGCTACTTTTGGACGTGAAGAATCATTGACCAAGTATTTGGTGTGAGCACAACCGTTGCTGAGGTCGTTGCGGCAATTGCAATTTATTGAGTCAAGTCATCGGATTGAAACGGATGACACACAGGAAGTGAGAGGATTGTTAGAGACGAGGGCGATTAACTGGCAAAGATCGAAGGAAATTACTGGAACGCAGCTACAGGATTGCACACAACTGGGATGTTTGAGTCTGTCGGCGGGAGAACCAACGTCACTAGCTGAGCTAATGTTGTCGAACACGGTCTGGACCATTGCGGCGAGTATGGACACTGTGTTTGCGTTTTTCGACAGTGCACGAGGCTCGATGCCGAACGAATTCGCGAATAAGCATCAATTGGAGCATTTGGATGACGCAGAGTTTCATGATGAAGATGAAACCAGATCGGGGAATCATCTAGGACATCACACTTGCAGTGCGCGCAGCCCAAGATGCAGCATGGTCATCTCGACTTCTAGGAGCGTGAACGACTTCGACTTGCTGTCGGTGGTTGGAAAAGGCGCTTACGACAAAGTGTTTCTGGCAAAGAAGAAGCAAGGTAAAAATGCTGGTCGTGTGTATGCAATGAAAATGCTGCACAAGTAAAACGTCTTTAAGAAAAAGCAGCTTGAACATACAAAGTCGGAACAGCGCATTCTTAAGCATGTGGAGCATCCGTTCGTGGTGCGGCTGCGGTATGTTATTCAGAACCACCAGAAGCTGAATCTAGTGATGGACTATTACTCTGGCGGATCGCTATTCGTGCATCTACGGATGGAAAAGCGCTTTTCAGAGCAACGGGCTTGCTTTTAAGCGGCAGAGCTGGTGCTGTCGTTGGCGCATTTTACACAGCATGCTCAGCATGTACCGTGACCTCAAACTGGAAAATATTCTCGTGGACAGCGAAGGGCATATTGCCATCACATATTTTGGCCTGTCCAAGGAAGATGATGAAGGATCTACGTTTGTCGATACCCTTGAGTACTTAACGCCAGAGTTGCCTTGCAGCCAGCGCACATCCACATCATACGGCAATACGGTCGACTGGTAGAGCTACGGTGTGCTTGTATACGAGATGATTCTAGGACATACACCGTTCTGGGACAAAAAGCGCCGTCAAATGTTCCAGAACATCCTAAGCAAGGATCCATTGTATCCTCTTGAGCACTTCTCTCCCACGGCTATCGATTTTCTGCAGCAATGATTGATTAAGAATCCACAGCAGCGGATGGGTTGCGAAGCTGACGGCGCGATGGAGATTGTGGGGCACATATGGTTTAAGGGCGTCGATTTGGAAGCACTTCTTGAACGCCGAATATAGCCACCCTTCAAGCCGGTGTCGAAAGACTCCCAGGAAGCCGTGCACGGACTAGCAGCGCAGCGCTCATTGCTAATATGCAGTATGTACCAAATGTCTTCGAAGAGACCTCTAATTGATTGCTGTCATTTAATGCATGTGGCGTTATTTTAAGACGTCAAGAAAGACTTCGGACTTTGACGACTGTTTGTACGATCCAACAAGAGTACTGACGATCTCGATGGGCCGTACATGACTCAGTTGCCAGAATGTCACGGTGTTGAAGTGCTACCTCAAGGCCATGATAGGATTAATTTGCATTTTATATAGAAGTATTGTGCAGAGCCCAGAATAGTTGGTTGATCAAGTAGCATTCCATATGATATTCTTGAGTAGTGGTCGTCAAGCTGTATGACGTCTCCAATCTTTAGTAGCTATTTCAACTGACTGCATCAAAGAACTCTTTTGAAGGCAATGGGCGTAAAAAACCAGTCAATTCATTCATCAAGTACAAAAGGTCGTGACGGCGGATGATTCCACCCGATGACCGTGGCCTCAATCGATCATGCAAAGTGTAAATTATCTTCGTTAGACTTTGAAGAAGCTGCCGACCAAGTTTCACGCTGGAAGGACGTTCAAAAGATAGAAAAGATGCTACCGGACGTTCAAACCGCCGGGGTGATCCAGCCACGCAAGGAAGAGCAGACGGTGTCACTAATGACAGTGGCACTGTAACAGGGCATCTAGTTACACGTAAACATAAAGTAATATACTTAATGTTTGGTCTAAAAGTATCCATGATTACTTTTGACCTGTCACTTGGGTGCGATACACAAATGTGATCCACCCTCGTGAATGTAATATCCATTTATGGATTCACATGATGCTAGTTGAAACTAGGCATCGCGACGTCTCAGAAGGACGTCATTAGCAAGTTTAATCTAGATTTAAGTTCATGCGACAGGATACGCTTCTAAAGAGTCACGTATCCGATCTTTATACATATATGCCAATCAGTAGTTAAGTTATATTTAATTATAATTCATTAAATATAGCTCAGTCTTGAATTTACTAAATCGAAAGCACCGCGCACGAGAAGCTATAAAAGCTTCTGCGTGAGGTCGGTGACTTGTTGTTAAGAAGTTCTTTGCGCTCTCGCTTAAGCGAGAGGCAACTGGTGATACGACTGCTTAAGCAGTCGACCAACCTCCTAACCACCCTCGCACGCGAAGGAAAGATGGTCTAACCGCTTCCTCGCTTGTGCTGAAGGTGTGTGCTAGTAGCACGAGGCAACTTCTTAGAAGTGCCCGTCTACACTTGGTAGCACTAGTAGTCCTTTCCACGACTCGTCTCTCTGAGCGTGCGTGTGATTAAGATGGTCCTTAACATGGACTGGAGTGACTTCCCTCACCTCTCCCAACATCATAGGGAGTTGGCAGAGCATATGGCGCAGGGATTTGGTGAACAAGCCCTGGTCAACCTCTTGCATTGTCCTCCTGAGCAACATGTTGCTCAGTTGGAGCAATTTGAGGCGTTTGTGCTCGAACAGCGTAGAAACACGTTCGAGGTAAACAGCCAAGCCACCGCTGAGTCCATCACTAAGACTCAGGATGAGCTTAGGCTTGAGCAGGCACGTAATGAGGAGCTCAACAGAGATGTTGAGACGCTCTCTGCCCGGACTAATCAACCGAGGCCCATTCGGATGGACCCTCCGAAGTTCGATGGACTAGCCCTCACACGATTATTCACTGGCTATTAGCAGTTGAGTAATGTGGAGTGGCGCAGCTCATCGAAGACGACACCAGAATGGTGTCGTATGCCATGTCCAACTTGCGTGGCAAAGCGTCAGAGTGGGCATACTCTGCGCTGATGGCAAATGCTGATGCATTTCCATCATGGGCGATGTTTAAGACAAAGATTCGCGCCATGTATCAACCACCTAACAACGAAGTGTTGCTTATGGCGTGCTTCTTTGGATCACGACAGGCGAAACGATCTCTGCAAGAGTATGTGCAGGAGATGCGTTCGCTGTCGGCGTCCATTAATGGGGAACTGATACCGGAGAGTATCAAGGTGGCCATGTTCATGAATGGACTTAGGCACGGCCCATCGCGTCAGGCCCTTTTTAAAAAGGTTCCAGCAACGATGGAAGAGGCAATTGACATTGCCTTAGTTGAGTAGCAATCCTACAACAGCGCCTCGGCGACAGCCTATTACAGGCCGTCGTCCGAGAAGTCTGATGCCACTCCTATGGAGTTAGGCAATGCTGTGGTGGAGTGGGTTCTCAAAATTGTATGATGAGACCCCAAACCACTCACTGTGCCGGACTGCCGACTGTCGGAGGGGGTACCCCGATGCCGCGTATGAAACTTCTCTCACCTTGTGTACCCGTCGGCTGGCGGGTTGCACTCTTCGGAGGACTTGGTGACGATGTAGATGTCTGCCTTGAGGGAGGTAGACCTGGGGGCCTCGAGTGGATATGCTTCACTCGGTGGGACGGTAGGTGGCCACTCGATCGACCTGGTCGAGAGTGGGCTTAGAGCCAAATTCTTCAGGGGCGCTTGTCGTCCCTGGCCTTTTCCTTCTGTTTCAGGGGTATTAACCACCTGACCTTTACGTTGCTCCCGGACCTTGAGGTGAGGGAGACCGCTTCCGATAGCGGGTCTTGGGGGGTGTTGCTACTCGAACGAGCTCACAGGCCAAATATGTACTGGAGCTCTATTCGCCCTTGAGCTTCGCTATGCAACTGTCTTCGACGGGGGCCAAAATATATCCCTTCCCGGAACAGTGAGTAACTTAGAACAAGTCCTTCTTGGGTGACGGAGTCGTGCCACGTAGATCGCAAATTGAGTAGTATTTAATATAGTCCTATCCTTTTAACTCCATTACTCTATCCTTGCCTGAAGCTCTGATTCCTTGCGTCGACTAGTCTGATCCTTGTATTAACCGGTCCGGAGTGGCTGAACCCCGAGGGGCCGAGGTCGACTGATGAGGGGACCCAGGTCTACCAATGAGGGACCGGGTCGACTGATGAGGGACCCAGGTCTACCAATGAGGGACCGGGTCGACCAACGAGGGTCCGGGTCGACCAATGAGAGACCCATGTCGACCAATGAGAGACCCAGGTCGACCAACGAGGGTCCGGGTCGACCAACGAGGGACCCAGGTCTACCAATGAGGGACCGGGTCGACCAAGAGGGACCGGGTCGACCAATGAGGGACCGGGTCGACCAACGAGGGTCCAAGTCGACCAATGAGAGACCCAGGTCGACCAACGAGGGTCCGGGTCGACCAATGAGAGACCCAGGTCGACCGATGAGGGACCGGGTCGACTGATGAGGGACCCAGGTCTACCAACGAGAGGCCAGGTCGATCAATGAGCGGCCATGATCAACTCCTTTTGGTACCGGTTAACCGGTACCCTGATACTGATTTTTCTTCGGCGGATCCTGCGGATTGTCCTCCACCAACGGTCGCTCCCCTTCGAGCCCCTGTATCTCTGGTCCCCTGTCCCTGACCCACGGCCTAAACTCCGAATCCAACTGGAGTCTGGGACCTCCACATCACAAAATTAGCACTTCACCACAATGCAGATGTGATCTGCTACAAGTGCGGCAAGCGAGGCCATATGATGGCTCGCTGCTATGACAAAGTAGCTGCTGGTGCTAAGGCAGCCAGCAAAAGGTCTCCCAACCCGAAGGGAGGCGCGAAAAACCAGCGTGCACGACGCACGGGTTCAGCACCTGCCCAAGATGAGTAGGGAAATGCGGGAGCGCAGTAGGGGCGGGATGCCCTACTGTCGCGGACTCTGAAGCTACCCCTTAGTTCAGAGTGATCTAACAAATGGGTAGCATAGTCCCTTAGGTTCCGAAAGGTCGGACCTCATCCCTTTTGGTCTATAGCGCTCGAGTACGAGGCTATGACCAAGTGATGTCCCTTCTCGTGGATTCGGGTGCATCGAAAAACTTTGTGAAACTCGCGGCTCTTAAAAAAGACCGGCGAGTTATGAGTCGCTTTGCCAGGATGGCAAGCGAGAAGAAGCGATCGTTCGTTTAGCGAACGGCGCGCACGTTGAATAGGAGGGAGTTCAAGTTGAACTCGCCTTCAGTTTCAGTGACTTCTCTTGTAAAGAGAAGTTCACAGTGCGAGGTATGGAGAGTCCGTATGACCTCATCCTAAGCATGCCTTGGTTGGCTAAACACCAACCATGGATAGACTGGCGTACACGCACAGTCGCTAGCTCTACGCAAGACACCAGAAAGGATGTGCTCTTGCGAGAGGCTTATGTGGATGGTGCTGTGTCCAACAC